ATATTGAATCTCATTATCAGAGATCCCTAGTCTATTTTCTATCCCTTAGGTGTTTAAAGGCCTATTGTTTACTATTACCCTGAAAAGTAATCATACTTATGTAAGTCTAATGTCCCAAGATAACAGCATCCTTCTTGTGACCTGCAGCTTCTCATAATTAGGCCTTAAACTTTACACCTAGGAGGTGTTTCAAACCTCTGCACATGACAACATCCTTTAGTCCTGTAATCAGTGTTTTCTATCCCAGCCTGCCTTTTGTTTAGACTTCTGACTCAAATGTTTAATTATGGAGATGACAGTGCTAAAAAACTATGGGATAGTAGACCCAGCTCCCTCCCCATACCCTTTATTTGGAAACTATTCCTTCCCACCACATGTGGAGCACACAGAAGCTGCCATGATTTTAAAGACCCTGATCTCTTAGCTGTGGTGGATATTTTTCAGCAGCTAATCATTTATTCCAGTTGGGCAATCGGAGACCTTCAGGATTTTAAAATTTGGTATTAACATAAGACAGTGTGTGTGTTAGCCTTTGTGGGTAGGAGCTGTAAAATGTGAATTGAAGACAGTTGGTGACTTTGTTTGCTGCCCCGTGGAGGTCGTGATATTCAGTGAGAAAAAATGAAGCTGACACACAAACATCAGAGAAGGGGAGACAGACACAGAGTTCTGTGGCACTCAACGCCCCCAGTTCCGGCTGTGCCTAAATTCCAGCTTCATTTGTTCTTACCATCCCAATATTCCCATTATTTGGTTTCTAAAATTTGCTGAGTTTGCTCACCATTGTACATCTAATATCAAACATGGAGCCCGGCAATTCAAATAAGCCAGATTAGATAGATCTCCATCTATATCTGTATCTTTATCTATTTTTATATCTCTCTATGTGTATGTTGAATGAATGTTGAATCACAAGTGGCACCAGGAATTCCAATACATTCCCCTTTTAATCTAAACTGGATTTCTGCCACTTTTAACAGAGTTCTAACCTCCACAGTAACCTAAAACACCTACTGCAAACATTACTTAGAAATCTCTTTTATTTTTCTACGTTGGAGGAAAACAGTTGCAGATGTTAGTGGCTTGTACTGGGGTATTGGCAGTGAAGATAGAAGTTGATAAACTAGAGATACATTATGGACTAAGGAGTCTCAATAAACCAGGAGATTGACATCCTTGTGGATTATCTAGGCCAGTAATCCTCAAACCTTGGTAGTGAGCTAACAGAATCATCTAGGGAGTTACCAAAACAGATTGCTGAGGATTCGGTAGCCTGGGGTAGAGCCCAGGAGTCCGTACTCTCCACGAGCCCTGGAGAAATTCTGAAACGCCTCCAGGCTTGAAACAACCATAGATTTTTGCCATTATTCCAGGTCAGCTTTATTTCCATAGCCCAGAAGATCTAGGCTAACTGCTCACATGGCCCAGTCAGCATGGGTTAAAAGCATAGACTAATCTCAAAGCAGTAACACCACATTAGGAAGCAGCAATGGGTGTTCCAGATTCTGGCCTAGTGACAAGCAAATTCAAGCCCCCGTGGCCAATCTAACCTCAAACAGCAGGAGTGCTTGGGGGAAATGAGATCTCGTATTCAATTGACTTCTCTAACTAACCTTGTTTTGGATACTTAACTTTGTTAAGAAAGTTTTCTAAAAGTGTGTGGTCTTGTCTTTTTGTAAAAGGCAGAATAGTAGGCACACGTGAATCTTTGATAATTGGGGTCCTTCTTAGCTTCCGGACTGTCTTCATTAACATAGTCTGGACTGGAACTGGTGAGTTGGCCTGAAACAGCAGACTCCCAAGGCAGAAGCTGAGGGGAGGGGAACCTTAATGCCCCCCACTCCCTAGGATCCCCAATAGTCCTCCCCAAATGAGCCACCACAAATAAATATATGTGCTACATAAAAATAATAGATTTGTGTCTGCTAAGGGAAAAAGGGTTTCAAGCTACCCCAAATAAGCATACAGTCTAAGTAAAAGAGTTCCTTAATCTCCCCTGTTGCTGCCCCCAAAATCCTCTTTTATGGAAATTCCAAAACCATCACTGGCTCCAGGAAGGATTTGATGCCAGTCCAAACTCTTTTCTATACATACTGGTGTCAGCCTAAAATTCTAATAATTTTCTTTTGCTTCCAGCCAAGATGGAATAATAGAGACCAGATATACATTCCCATCTGGAACAACCAAAACTGGACAAAACATAGGCAAAAAAAAATAGCTTTTAAGACACTAGACATCAGGCAACCAAAGACAGTGACCCCTGATAGGGGGGAAATAATCAAGGTGAGACCTAATGATTGCCTCAGTTTACTTCCTTGAAAAAGTTTCCAGGCCACGGTGTAGAGTGGGGGTAATAGATACTGATTGTGGTGATGGTTTCCGGGATGTGTATATATATATATATGATAAAACATATATATACGTGCAGTTTCTTCTATGTTAATCGTACCTCAATAAAGCTGTTAAAACAAAATTCTATGAATAGAGCTTCTTTCCTGGAGCTGTTGGCTTTGATGCCTGCTAAAATGGAAATCCCACCGAGGGAGTCACCATTTTAAATTTGTATTATTAAATGATCACACTGTGGTTTCAGTAAAAACCCAAGCACAAAATTTTATAGGGAGAGCAAAGATGCTTACTAGGTGCTATGGTTTGAATAACTGACCCCTCCAAAACTCATGTTGCAATTTAATCCCTAATGCAGCAGAATTGAGAGGTGGGGCCTTTAAGAGGTGATTGGGTCCTGTGGTCTCTGCCCTCAAAATGTCAATAGCGCCCCCTTGAGAAAGCCTGGTAGAAGGAATTCAGCTGCACTGGCTGTCGGGCCCTTCCCTAACACTGTAGCACTGTAAAGGAGTCTCAATGTCTGTTTTGAGCTAGGGCTTGCAATGCTAAATAGAACACTTACTTGTCAATCCTGTCTTAGCCAGTAAGCTTTTCTAATGTTTTAGCTTCAAATATAATCAGAACCTCCAAAGTCTTGAGAACTCTGGCAGTCACACAGAGACCATTTTTATAGCTAATTCCTTAAACTCTAATTTAAGCACCTTTAAGAAAATTATACAGTTACTGTAGCCAACTTTCCACCAATTTTCTTGTCGAGGATAATTGGTTGTATGGTTAAAATTCTATAAAGTAAATTGGTAAAGTGTTCCAGTAGGGAAAAAAAAACTTCCTAAATTTTTTTTTTTTTTTTTTTTGGTGAGACAGGAAGTTATGATAATGAAATTTAGGTTTAGAAGAGACCTTGCAGATCCTCTTGTTCAAACAGTGAGGTGAGAATGAGAGAAAGTACAGTGCGAAAAGGCCCCTGTCCAGCCACTTAAGCAGCACAGCATGGTACACCATAGGTGTGTGAATACTCGCCAGTTAGGAGTTCACTTTGCAATGTTTTCCTAACCTGAATATTTCCCCCTTGCCATGAGCTGTCTTTCAGGGTCCCAATTCACATTAATTTTCTCCATGCCTATGTAACCCTTGACTGGCAGCTCCTAGAATCCTATGCTCCTAACTTAGTAAACTCCTTTTTAAATGTACACCCAGACTTCACTCTCACCTTCCGGACTGAAATTTCAACTGCAGATGAACTTCTCCACCAGGTGAGGCCCACTAGGACCTCAAGCAATTAAGACAAATTAATGTCTAAACTTGGGCTTAATCCCTCCTGCCATACCTATTTCTGTGAAGGGTATCACCATTCCGTCACCCCAGCTTGAAACCACAGTGGTTTCTCTCTCCATCTCTCCTATTTTCACTCTATCACCTGTCCTGTGGATTCTGCCTCTGAAGTGTCTCTTCCAAAATCCACCCCTTTCTCTTTATTCCTGCTACCGCAAGCCCAAGTCAGATTCTTATGACTTCCCACCAATCTTTGATCTATCCCCACCTCAATCCTTTTTTTTTTTTTTTTTTTGAGATAGGGTCTCACTCTGTCACCTAGGCTAGAGTGTGATTATAGCTCACTGTAACCTTGAACTCACAGGCTTAAGCAATCCTCCTTCCTCAGCCTCCCATGCATGTACTACAGGTGCATACCACCAGGCCTGGCTAATTTTTAAAATTTTTTGTAGAGATAGGACCTCACTATGTTGCCCAGGCTGGTGTCAAACTGCTGGCCTAAAGTGATCCTCCCACCTTGGCCTCCCAAAGCACTGGGATTACAGGCATGAGCCACTGTGCCTGGCCCACTTCAATCCATTTTAAGCACTATCATCAGATTATTTTTTTGTAATAATCATTTTTATCATATCATTCTCCTGGTCAAAACTTTCTATGGTTTTCTCATATCCTATGAAATGAAATGTAAAGACTTCATTTGGACTTTTAAGACCCTCCAAAGTATGGGCCCAATTTCATTTTCAGGTTCCATTTTTAAATCACACTGGACTGCTTACTGTTCCTAAAACATGTTCTGTTTGTTTCCTGCCTCTATCCCTCTTCCTTTCTTTTCTCCAACCGCAATATCCCATCTCCATGTGCACTATTCCTTTACCAACTGTCTTCTGGCATCTTGACTGAACATAATCTTTCCCTTCTTTAAATCTCTTTGACAAATAGCTCAAACTCATTTAGGGCATTTAGCATGTGTACTTTGTATTATTTTTATTTTTGCAAAGGCTGTATATCGTGGTTAGAATCAGCTTCTCGAGGATCAGATCTCTGCCTTAATCATCTTTGTATCCATTATAAGTACTAACATGGTACCCTACACAGAGCTGGAGCTAATAGAGGTCTTTGAATTTAATTTTAATCAGTTATTTATCTATATTGTAACATCTATATATTCAGTTGAAATGAGAAAAATTATACTTTACTGTTTAACTAACTGGATTTGAATTTAGGAGAAAGTTCTCTCAAAATAGCTTCATTATTACATATGTGAGATTAATAGAACTCAGTACAAAGCCATTAGTAGAGAAAAAGCATTAAGAAAAACAAGTCACAATGTAAGATCAGTTTTGATGAGCAAGTTAAAAACCTACTCCAAACAACAATCTTACCTGAGAGAGGAGTCATTCAGACTTCTAGGTTCTTTGCCTCTCCAAAAGACAGGGCCATTATTCTCTTCCTTGACTTAAAAAAAAAAAAGTTACTCAGTTATTAATTAAATAATGAAGAAAACCTAGTCGCAAGTACTGATTTGATGACTGTTCCTAAATCCTCTCAAAAACTTGGCAAGTCCAAAATTACACGTTGAGCAGCATGATGGAGCAAAAAGAACACTGGCTTTGACATTAAAATGTGCTTAAGTTCAGACTCCTCCAATAACTTTATCACTCTGGCCTCAGCATCTCTCTCTCTCTTTTTTTTTTTTTTTTTTTTTGACACAGAGTCTCATTCTTTTTGCCTGGGCTAGAGTGCTGTAGCGTCATCCTAGCTCACAGCAACCTCAAACTCCTGGGCTCAGGCGGTCCTCCTGCCTCAGCCTCCCGAGTAGCCGGGACTACAGGCGCACACCAACATGCCTGGCTAATTTGTTTTCTATTTTAGTTGTCAGCTAATTTCTTTCTATTTTTAGCAGAGACAGGGTCTCTCTCTTGCTAAGGCTGGTCTTGAACTCCTGCCCTCAAGCAATCCTCCCACCTCAGCCTCCCTGAGTGCTAGGATTACAGTACTCATTTGTAAAAATGAGGATGATAATTCTGTGAAAGAAAATGAGATTAATGTATATAAAAATGACTTATGTGATGCCTGGCAGAGTAGGTATGCAATAAACATTAGCTTAAAGTAAAAAATCAAAAAAACCAATCATAATTTCACATCAAGAAAACTGTCATATCTTTCCCATTATGTGAGTGTGTTTTGTTTGTTTATTTTGGGGAATAAGTAATAATAGTGTCTAATAAGTATTCTGAACATGAACCAAATTTCCATAAACTACTGCAAGAGGTCAGTATTCGCTACACAGATTCCATCCCCAGTGGAAACCCAAGTGTTCCCTGCCTAACTTCCTTCCCATCCCTGCGGAAGAAGAATTAGGAGAGTGAAGGATGCAGACGCCATCCACAGAGCAAGGGAGGGAAAGAGGGAAAGCCCTCGCTCCCACAGAGACATCCTTTCAGAGATTTCCCTGGCTCTCTGAACTGTTTGCTTTCTTGGCTTGTGTGCTCCCCTTTCCTCCTCCTACTCTCTTTTTCTCAGTTTAATTTTCTTATGAGGTAAAATTTACAAAAAATGAAATGCAAAATCTCGAGTGTACTTGCACTGAGTTTGACCCATTTTCTTTTGAACTGTTCTGTGCAGCTCTTATTCCTTATTTTTGTGTGTCTGAGAGGAGCCCAAGACACGACCATGTCTGGGAGAAAAAACTCCCTCACTTTAGAGAGCCAAAGACAGTGCAGGATGGGTCTGCAGAGACCTGGAGGCCACAGGCCATTACGGCTTGCTCTAGTCTAGGTGTAAGAGGTCAACCCAGCCCCTTAACATGCAGCATAGCCTGTCAACAGCAGAGACCACCCAGGGATTTGAGACAAAAGACCTGATGAAAAAAAGCATTCTTGGGGAAACTGCAGCTGCAGGAGGTGGCTGTTGGAGGAGTGGAAGTGTAGTGGTTGCTATGGTCTGAATGTGTATGGCCCCCAAAATTCATATAGTATTTAGAGGTAAGGCCTTTGGGGAAGTCCCGAGGGCTCAGGCCTCATGAATGCCATAGAGCCCTTATAAAAGGTTGAAGGGGATGCCTTAGTCTCTTCTGCCCCTGTCCTCACACAGTGTGAGGACACAGCATTTGTCCCTTCCACCATGTGAGGATATAGCAAGAAGATGCCATCTTTGTGGGAATTTTTGTTTTTTGTTTAAAGAGGTTTAGTCTCAGCCGAATGTGTGTGACTGGCCTAGAGGACATGGCCTCAAGACATCCTGAGAAAATGTGCCCACCATGGTTGGGTTACAGTTTGGTTTTATACATTTGTGGAGACTGGAATTATGTGTAAGAGCCTAAGTCAATAGATGGAGGGTGTACATTGGTTTGGCTCTAAAAGGCAGGACATCTAGGGGGTGGGGCTTACAGATTATAGGTGAGTTTAAATATTCTTTGATTTGTGATTGGTTAATGAAATGAAGCTTTCCCTAAAGGTTTTAACTTAAGGTAAGGATCTCTATTAAGCAGAGATAAGCCATGGGACATACATTCAGACTCCCATGATCTGTTAATTAAATCAATGGCCTACAAGTGTGGTTTAAGCTTTGTTTTGTACAGCCTTAGGCCTGTTGATGAGTTACAAAGGATAGCTCCACGAAGGGCGGGGGGCATGATGGAGGTGTGTCAGACCGCCCTTCTCATGGCCAGCAACTCAGCTTTAGGGTTTTTCTGGGGTCCCCTTGGCCAAGAGGGGGTCCATTCAGTCAGCCGGGGGACTTAAGGTTTTATTTTAGTTCACAATTCCTCCCTTTTGGCCACAATCTGCCAGAGGCAGCATCGATAGCCAAACTTTTATTTTGTGCCATTGCTGCCAGGGTGGTGTGGCTACTTGCCCTAGGTCCATCCAGGCCCTCGGTGGGACCCCTGTGGCCTAGGGGACTCAAAGCCAAAAAGGCTGACAGCCAATTAAATGTTCTAGGCCAGGCAGGAGTAGAGGTGGACAGGCACTCATCAACCTTTTAAAACCTTCTAGGAAGATGCCATCTTTGAAGCAGAAAGCAAGGCTTCTCCAGACACTGAATCTGCTGGTGCCTTGATCTTGAATGTCCCAGCCTTCATAACTATAAGCTATAAATTTCTGTTGTTTATAAATTATCCAGTCTAAGGTATTTTTATAGCAGCAGGAATGGCCATCTGTCATTTTGTCTTCCCAGCACTGCCCGTTTTTTGAAGAACTACCTTCTTGCTACAGTTACCATGAGGAGCCTCATCCTTAAAAGAGAAGAAAAAGACTTTGCTGCTTCCCTGAAACAAGTGATGCTCAAGCTTCAGTGCCCCTCACTTGCACGAGTTCCTTCCAGAGTTTTAGGAGAGGCCCTAGCAATGTGTTCACATGGCCAAGTGATTTTATAAATCAAAGGGAAAAATTTCAACCACAACCATTTTCCTTCTTAAGAGTGGCATAAGTACTTTGTATTTGTGATTTCTTCTGTACAGAAGTGGACCACTGGGCTTGGATGCTGCAGGCATTGTATTTAGTGTTCTAACTCTTTTTTTAATGGTGGGCTCTCCAAATTGTATGAATTTTACTCCCCTCAAAACCTGGATCCACTCCTGCCCTAGCCTTAGCTGACAGGTCTAGAGGAGGGCATCTGATCCAAGCCGAGCTAATCGATGTCTCCCCCTGGATTTGTGACATACCAGAGAGACAAAGCTAGGAGTCTTTGAACTGGATTGGACTGGCTGGACTCTAGTAGAATGTCCCCCACAGGCTGCGCAGGTTGTAGAACAGGCCTCTGGGTTTCTGGTCTTCCACTATTTGGCTCTTCTGTTCCCTTTTTGATTCCCTAAGAGACTCCAGAATCTTCCAGAAAATCCCCCTTGACATTAAGATAGGCAGAATATTTTTTTTTTATTTGCAAGCTAAGAACCTTTAAGATCCTAATCATCACAGTCACTTCTAATAGTATTAATTTCACAAACTTTGACACCGATTGTAATACATATAATGCCTTGATTTTTACAAAGGATAGTGGAACTGGAATTGAATGGAACATACTAGCACTTGTGACCCATAGATCAGACAGATTTAAGCTTATCTCTTGCTTCAGAATCACATATTACAGAATGCCTAGGGGGTGACCCACTGGGTCCTGGGTATACAGCAATACCTAATCTCAGGGAACACTTAGCTTGGAGAACAGAAAATACAGAACACATCACTATTACATTGCTGGAAAGGGGGAAGAAATCTCTAAGACTTATCTATTAGGAAGGTAGTATCACCTAAACAATCATCCTGTACCTAGTTGTAAGTTGTCTCTTAAACCTACTTTCATACAAGTTCACTACCTGAACTCTCTCTTTTTTGTGTGAGGCCACCAAAAGGTTGTGACAAAACAACTTTGGTGTCAATGTCCCTGCCTCTATGTTATCTTTAAATTTTAATTTGTAACAATGGTGTGTAGAATCTTAGGACCATCTGTGCTCTCCATTTAAACATAAAGTATAGTTCAATCTCTGTTTTCACACTTGGTGGAACGTCTGTCTACTGACACCACTGACCAGAGTTTGGCAGGGATAATGACAAGAGAGCTTGAATACGGAGTTATCTGCCGCTGTATTCTCTCGTGTGCGTGTAGCAGTTTATACTCTTCAGTGGCTTAGATATGAAGTCCTTTGATCACTCAGTACAACGCATATCTGATGGAATGTTCAGTTGTACTGTCTAGCTGAGAAACATGTTTTAGAAGGGACACTACAAAAATAATACATCTGCTTTCTCAATTGCAAGAGGCATGATTATATTTGTCAAAATCTTATTCCTGCGGGGAAGACTGTCAAGCTTCCATGTTTAAAAATAACCACTCAACCTGAGAGACTCATCAGTGCCTTGTGATTTTAGTTTGACCTCACCTCACTAGTTTTAGAAAATGTCTACGTTTTAGGTTAAAAAAAACATGCACACACACACACACAGTATGTATATATTTGTTTATTCACACACACACAGGGTTATCCCTCAGTATCCATGGGGGATTGATTTCAGGATCTCCCACAGATTCCAAAATCCAAGGATGCTCAAGTCCCCGATGTAAAACGGTGTAGTATTTGAATATAACCTGTGTACATCCTCTGTATACTTTAAATCATCTCTAAATTACTTATAATACCTAATACAGTATAAATGCTATGTAAATAGTCATTATATTATATTGTTTAAGGAATAATGAAAAGAAAAAAAGTCTGTACATGTTCAGTAGAGAAGTATTTTTTTTTAAGAGACAGGCTCTCAATATATTGCCCAGGCTGGAGTGCAGTGGCTATTCACAGGTGCAATCATAGCACACTACAGCCCCGAACTCCTGGGCTTAAGCCATCCTCCTGCCTCAGCCTCTTGAGTAGCTGGAACTACAGGCACATGCCACCATGCCTGGCTTTTTCTCGAATTTTTGATCTGAGGTTGGTTGAATCGATGGATGCAGAACCCCCA